CGTGTGTTTCCTAGGACTTGCTGGGTATAAAACCAACCGGCAGCGGGGAACTCCCATGGGCCTGAATTTTCTCTAAGGCAATAATGTAAAACCTGCTCGTGGGAGGAGGGCATGGGTGTACCATGCCGTTCCTTGGAAGTGGAAAGATCCCTGTGCATCTTCACCCAGAAGTGCTTTGTGGACAGCTTTGACTTGATTTTTATACATAGGCTTGGTTTTAGCACGTATCCTAGGCGGAGGTTTTGTTAGGGAGGGCTTATCTCTATGGAGCTTGTACAGCTTTTACGGCACCTTGACTGCTGAGATGACTGAACGGGGTCTGGCACGGGTCGTACCGATGGAAGTGCATCGACCGAGGTGTTGCTGTGTTCATTGGCAGGGCTGTATTTATATTGCTTGTTAAGAAGGAATAATAAAGCGAGAGAGCCCACACCCCTTTCTGGAGCAGCCGAAGCCAAGCTCTGCGGTGCGTGCCGGCCCTGCCCCTGGGCAGCTCACCGGGCCGGCGGCAGGCGGTCACCTTGCTGTCCCCTTGGCTCTTCTGCCTCTGAAACGGGGACGCTGCTGCCTGGCAGGAGCACCTGGCTGCTGGGTTTTGTTTTCTGGAGTTGACTTGGCCATTTAGGAGAACTGATTTGAACCCATCGTTGCCTGGTTTTTACTTAGGGAAGGACTGGAGCCCACCCCAAGGACTTGGGCTGATGTAAAACGGGATTTTTATTCCCCCCGCCTCCCCTTCTGCAGTCGTATTAAACTAACGACTGGTTTTTAGGAAGAAGTGTTCACCTCTGAGAATTTACTGTGTTGATAAAATTTCTTCCTGTAGTTTCCTAAAGGCTGCCTTTCTGTTGGAGAGACGGGCACGGCACGGTACATCTGGGAGCCCGGCACCGCGGGGCAGGAGCTGTTGGTGCCAGTTTGAGGCTACAGCCACAAAGGGCAGGATTTGAAGTCTTCTCCTGCAGATGGGGAGGGGGATCCCATTCTTCCCTCACCCCCTTCCCGTGAAACCCCGCAGCCTTCATAACCCTGCGGGCTGAGCTTGGCTCAGCTCCCCGCTTGTTTTTCCTCCTCCATCCCAGCCTCCCGGCCCTCTCGGGCACCTCTCGGACACATGCAGGTTCCCTCCGCGTGAGGAGAGAGGTAAGGCTGCTAATTCTGCACGCACGCAGTATTTACAATAAGCACCATCTGCTTAAGTTTGCAGGACGCTGTCCTTGTCGGTCAAGCCGAGTGCCAGGCCAGCTGGGCGAGGGGCGGCTCTCGCCGCTGAGGCCGCTCATCCCAGAAGAGGGATGAATCTACCTAGGAAATTTTATTTTAAAAGGATCAGGCTCCTAAATAATTTATTCCCTGTGCTGTTTCATGAGCTAACTCTGCTGTCCCAGCTGGAGGGGCTATCCCGTGCCCTCCTCCGTAGCCTATTTTAGGCAAGCGCTTGCAGCGGCACCGAGCACACGCATGCAGCGGCACGCTGAACGCTTTCCCTTGGAGGATGCGGGATTTAACTGCTTTGCCGCTGCCGCCGTTACTCCTCGCCCCGGCTTCGCCTCTCGAAGCACAGGACCGCTCTCAAGACGAGCCGTGCAGCCACACGGCTCTCAGTAACCATCTGGCCGTCTCTTCAGTCATCATCTTCAGCTTAATCCAAGTCCTGTTTTGGGCAAGTGCAATAAACTCTTTTATTAATTGTCGTGTTAAAGTCCCTCGTGTTTAGAAAGAAAGGAAGCGGGTTTCTCTGTCCCCCTCCGGAGCGAGGTGTTTGGTTGAGGTTTTGGGTGACTGCAGCGTCTTCAGGGTTCTGTATTTTGTGCGTGGTTGCTACTTTTCTAGAGCTAGCTGAGAAAATTAATTGTGCTTGCAAAAGATTTGTGTAGAGAACAAAGCCAAGGAAGCTGATCGACATGGGGAAAAGACATCCATGTTGCTGACAACACATCGCGGCACAGGGTATAATTGAACAGGCACTGAAAAAGGCTTAATTCTAAATATAGAGGACCACACTACGCTCAATACTGTTTTGGAAAGTGTGGCTGAGCCATCATTATGTATCTTCCCCTCCTCCACCTATGCCGCAGGGTGTCAGAGGATGAAGTATACGTTCCTGCGTTTCGCTTTCTTGGGTTATTTTTGGTTTAAATCCAGTGGGTTTTTCTGGGGTAGGATGTGTCCTGATTTTAAGGTGAAGAGCAGATCTGCTGCTGCTTACGCTGCCGTGTCACTTAGGAATCTAAATGGGCGTAAGGTGGTTTTTATACTTACATCTTGATTTCTGTGTAATCTGAGCAAAAGAATGAGATGTATTGAATGGGGCAGGCCAGTATCGTTCCAGCAGGCATAGGTGCTCTGTAACGTTGCGGAGGCAAACAAGGGAGTTGGCAGTTTGGAGGTGCTCTCAGCAGCTTTTGATATTTCTAAAAACAATTCCCGGTGCTACGTGGATCCCCAGAGAGCAAACTGAAACCTGCTGAGGTCTGGCTGAGAGTGCTAAACTTTCAAGGGATCCTGATAGTCTATTGCATCCACAGATGCTGAAGATGCCATAAAAGCAGACACAGCCATTGCAGCTCTAAAAAAAGAAGAGGTCTTCTCCAGTAAAATTGTTCTTAGCTTCTGAAATGAGGGTATGGTAAAATTTCACTGAAACTTGGCTGGCAGAGAAGTAACGTGTTCTTGCGGGAAACTACGCTGTCGATCTTGCAGGTGATTGAGTTTGAGCATCACTGCCTTTCCAGCGATGCTCGGAGAAACGTCTCCATGAGATAAGGGAGATCTGCTTCCCAAACACCGCTTTTCTACCCTCCGGTGTCGTGGAGGGAATTTTGTGCCATTTAGGCTCAGAGTAGAGAATCCCTCGTGGGGGGGGGAGGAGGGACCGTAAAGCTTGCAAGGCATTCTCCTTCTTGGAACAGAGTAATGCATGACTGGGCCAGAGATCTGGATTAGAGCTGCGTGATCGGGTGATGTTGGGGTGGTGTTGGCAACTGCTCAGCCCGTTGTAAATCAGATTAACCCTGTGGTCACTCGGCCTTGCTGGTAGGGTACATCAGACCTTTACCCAGCCCCGGTGCTCAGCTGCCTTGGCCGCCTTTTGTCTCGGGCTCTGCTGGCTGTATCCTCACCGTAACCGATGGAGGATTAAGATTCTGGTCTTGCTGTGGCATCCGTCTACAATAAATATTAAAATTTCCACCAAATGTAAGGTCAGCGTTGACCAAAATAGAGCAGGCACTTTACACAAGGAAATATTCTGGAGAGGAGGACTTCAGCTCCTAAAAGTGCTTGGGAAATGGTCTTGGAGAGGGCTGGGAGGACCGTAGGCAGCAGCTACCGTTGCCCGTTTTGGTGGAAACCTGGCCTCGTCTAAATTGGCATTGAAGAGATGTCGCCCACGCAGCCAGGAGGTCCAGGAAGAATACGGAGAACGTGTCTTGTTTTAAATGTGTGGGTTTCCCTTGCAGTTCAAAGGAACCAACTCCTCCTTTTCAGGGTATTTCTATTAGTTGATTTGAAACTTGTCGTAACCCTGCTGCCTTTTTTTTGGTTTTGTTTTGCCGAGTGCATTTGGTAGCAGCACCCCTAGATAAGGGCAGATGCTAAGAGGTGTAGATTTTTCTAAGAACCTGATCATTGCTGTTCCTTACCATCTCGGCAGCTGGGGGTGCTTCAGTAGTAAATCTCATTTACCAGCGCTGCTTTTGCTGTAAGGGCCGGTTTCAGCTTTGAAAGGGGTTAATCTCAGCAGAAGACTTCTTGGTTAGATTTTTGGAAGAAAAATCTGGGCATTTCTGTGGCTCCTCTGCTCCGTGTGCTCTCGCTGGGTTCAGAAATGCTACAGAAGGAGGGGGAGATGGGCAAAGGGAATTATTTTGTGATTAATTTCTTAATTGCCAAACATCCAGATGTGGCAAAGGCTTTGTGCGGTGGCACTGGATTTGCGCAGGCGCTTTCTGCTGATGCTTTGTTTCTACACCATGTTGTGGTTTTCTTCCTTTCTGGGTAACCTTCATATTTATCCACTGGAATCTGGATGCTTTGGGTATATTTTCATAATATTATGGCTTTTAATGTGGGAGAGTGGAGCCATGGATTTCCATGTGCTCCTTTCTGCCCTGGAGTGCAGTAGTAAGGGTGGTTTTGTAGCAGTTGACCGTAAAATGCAACGGTGTAGTCCATGCACTAGTGAAAGCGTATTTATGTTCCTGCAGAACCGTACTTTGTGTTTGCAACAGAGATAAAGAAGGTAGGAAATCAGTCAAGAGTTGCAGAGTGTGTGGGTTCCCCCCATGCACCCACACGTGCTCGCCGCCTCTGAGCCCCGGAGATCCGGAGGAGTTCTTCACTTTGTAATTTTCTGATGTTTTTTCCTGGCTTCTTTGTTAGCTTGGTCCAGGCATCAGATGCAGAAATGAAGTTTACTGTTGCCCGCTTTCCTTTGCAACACCTCATTGCAGGGGAGCAGCTTGTGCAAGGTGCTGTTAGCTCTGTTGCTCGTCCCCGAACAGTGGTTACTCTTAAAACCAAAGGATGGCATGTTGTGAAACTTGCCACCGAGTTCTAATTGTGGCCGCTTGGTCCGCGCTGGTGTTTAGGCATCATGACTGATGACAGAGGTCTGTTTTGAAACAGGCTGTGTCGAGGAAAGGAGGGCAGATGGGTTTTGTTTTCTCCGAGACTTGGAAAAGTGGGTCTGGCAGATGTGGCCAGGTAGGACTGGAGCGGCTGGTTCAGCTAAGCGTGGAATAAAATTTTAATGCTTGCATAGGCAGAACTTCAATCACAGGGTACCAAAAGTTGTTTTAATATTGCTCTGCGGAGGCATGGCTTTTATAGCATGTCTGTAGTTCGGTTGGTAATTATTAGCAGTGGCTAGATGGTATCAGTCGTGCCATTCAGTATGTGGCTTTTGATCTAGCTGTCAGTTCTGCTAGGTTTTTTGTGGGCTGTATAATTAAAATCACACTCGAAATAATCCCCCCTTCCCCTCTCTGTTTTTCCAGGAGGCGAAGGGCAGAGTGGAGATGGGCAGCAGACCGTGCAGCCATCGTCAGTCGCTGGAATTGGCTCCAAGCCCACGTCTCAGACCTGGAATACCGAATCCGGCAGCAAACGGACATTTACAAGCAGATTAGAGCCAATAAGGTGAGGACCAGGAGTGCGTTTGGATATGTGTGATTTTGCTTTCTCTGCCTCCTCATGACTCTATTTTCTGATGCAGTGGAGAGTGGGTGTGCAAAGTCTGATGCTTTTTTTCCCCTCCTGCATCTCTCAAAAAGGATATTGCACATTTGTGACTAATTGTAATGCTATGTGACACAGGCTGGGTGTAATTCTTTTCCCTGGTTCAATACGGTAACACGAAGAGAGCAATACCTTACTTTAAAGTCAGTCTTTGGGTACTGAACAAAACTGTTGCTTTTGCATCTGTGTTGCTGTTCCCCATTATTTGAGCCTTTCTCTTTTTTATTTGATTTTTTTGTTTTTAAGAAAAAAACTTTTTGGGAGCAGCTGAAGATAGGGATAAGGAACAACGTGACAACAGACTTAACTGGGGAAGGGAGGGGACGATGGAGGAAGTTAACTTCAGATGCTATCACATAGCACTGGCTTAAAATTGAGTCTGTATCATAAAAAAGACTGTTTCTAGGTGCTGACCTTTCTCTGTGGAAGGAATTATTTTTTTCAGACTTGGTCTCAGATGACAGGAGAATGGGGGAGAGCAGAGAAGGGATGAGGAAGGAATTGTTATCAACTTGTTCAGGCATGCATGTCTAAATGTCAGACCTTGGAGGGAGGAATGTCTGGAGTTTGTGGCAAGGAGGCTCGTGGTATTGCATCAACTTCCAGATCCTCAGGAATTCAGAGTCTGGCAAAGGCTTTTCCCAACATGCGTGGTTCTCTGGGGGCGGCGGGGAGAGAGGCTTCCAGGCGGGTAGAAAGGATGGGCAGGCGAGGGAGGCTGGGCTTGTATGCAGCGATGTAGGAAAAGGGGCTAATTGAGTGAGTGAGGGCTATAAATGACTGGGTGGGAGAGCGTGGCTTGCTGAACGGAATACGTTACTGAGATTAGAGCCGACGGGCTTCTGGGAGGCGGACTGTATGTCAAATTAATGAACCCGTTTCAGAAAGAATCCTTCCTTCTGTCTTAAGAAAGCCCATCACGCAAGATGGTTTCTCAGTACAAAATAGCTAAACATTTGTACACTAGAAGTTAAGTAATGGAAGAAATGAGAAAGCTCATTAATGAAGTGGAAGATTCAGTGCTTTCACTAGATGAGGACCACTCGACAGGGTCGTGAAATGGCCTGGTAATGACTACAAGCATCCCACCTAAGGTTTTTATCTAAGGTTGCAGTCTCTAGGTCTGAATGGAGAATGGCACGGTGTTGTGTCAAAGTTGAAAAGTACATCTGAGGTTTCAGAAAACAGGATGTCATCTTTTTGGATTTGTTCAAACGAAACCTCCTCAACTGCGATAACCCAATACATCAATTTAAGATGAAGCATGCTACTTGCAGTGGCAGAGGAGTTCACATGGTGTGGATTTGGTAGTGACTGAATGAGAAAGTGAGTATCAAATACTCCCATCTTTCTGATAGGACTTGATGGAGATCACCGCTTGCACCCAGCTGTCGTTGTCTTGGTGTCGTTGAGCTCAAGGATGCCTTGTAAAACGTGTTCGGTTTTCATCAATGAAGAACTCGGAGTGAGATTCATAAAAGCAGCCTGGGACAAATATAGGAGACTAGAGAAATGATCGTGTGCTTCAGTAATACAAGAGTCTTGTTGGAATGGATTTGGCTTCAAATTGTCCAAGGACAACAATTAAAGAATTTGGAGACACCTTGTTTTTTCTATCAACATAACTTAACTCCAGCTTATTTGGCCTTAAGGAGGTTAAAATGTAGCTGCTGCAGGAACTCAAAAGTTGCTACTCTTCTTTTTATTTTTTTATTTTAGGTTAATTACCTTTATGTATTAAAGTTCACATCCCAGTGTACCCTTCCAGAAAGATGCATTGTTTTGTCAAATCAAAGCAAGAGAAGGGCCAGGCAGTTGAAAATAACCCTCTCTTTTGAAGGTACACTGCTGCCCAAGTGTCTCAGCAGTAATTCTCTTTCCAGCACATTTGGATCGGCTCAGTCGGAGCCTGGCGAGATGCGGAGGAAAACAACAAATCAGTGAGCCTGTGTTCAGAGTTAGTTGTGAAGTGCTGCGTTTTTGGAGCTTAAAAGTAGTGGGCTGTTGTGCCTTCAATTTTGTATTGGTTTGGGAGAGCGTGTACAGTTAATTTAAGGGACTGGATGTCCGTGAAGGCAATAAGGTGGTTTTGTTTCTTTTCACCAATGTGTTTTGTTGGGCCTTTTTGAGATGGGGTGTGGCGCGGTGCTGGTGTGTCCCCCCACGCAGAGTCTTTGCACCTCCCTGCCTGTGTGGGTGGCAGATGCTCCATATTTGGAAAGGAACAAACAGCTTTTTTTTTTTTTCTTCCCTCTTTCTATGTCTCTTACGAGTTTCGCTCTTAGACAGAATAAGAGGTAAATTAAGATGAAAGGCTCCTGCAGGAATTTTGTTGTAACAGGCTTGGTTGAAACACAGTGACCGAAACTCCTTAAAGACAGGGTTGTTGTGCACATCGTCTCTGCAGACTCAGGTTTGACTTGTGCCCAGACCACCTGAGATGGGTTCCCTCGGTTCCCTTTGAGCTTTTGGTCTGATCTGTGTGCAGCCCATCCCGTGGGGAGGGCTGTGCTCTGGTCGGAGCCGCCAAGTCAAGAGAAATGAGTGATGGGAAGGGTGGGATGGGAGTTAGGAGGAGCCTCTTGCTGGAAGAATTTGCAGCGCTCACGTGAATTTCCTGGGTCTGCAGCGGTGTGTCGGGCTTAGGGCGTGATAAGAGGTGCTGCTGTCCTCTGCGGGACTGTTTAGGACACTCAGTCTCTTCCTGGTGTGTCTTCATGTGTGTCAGTCCTCTTCCTCGCCCGTTAGTCCCTTGGCAGAAGCTGCTGACTATTCAGGACTGAGACATCTGAGATCTACCTCTGTCTGAGACCTGCACGATTGACTTCTCATTAATACCATAATTAGTGATAAAAACAGGAGTAAAGAAGAGCAAACTTACCCATAAATATCGGAAGGGGCTTTCCTTTTCTCTCTTGTTCTGGAGAACGCTGCTGAAACGCAAGTATTGTGTGACCTTGGAATGATTCAGATGCGCTGCTCCTTTCCCTTTCCTGAAAGAGATGTTGCCCTTCTAATTCCTCTCTGTTGTTCAGAAGTGCGTAAATAACAGGAGATTTAAAACTCTTAAAAGCAAAGCAGAGAGCAGAAGCCCTCAGCAGGAGGATGCCGTCCAACCTGCAGGTCTGTAGGTCCGTAGAAGCTGTCTCGTGGGCTGGGAGAGGACGGCTGATGTGCACGGTAGGTTTGGGCAGTTCAGCTTCTGGACAAGGACACCAAACCGAATGTGTGACTGTCACGGGAAGGCTGCCTTAACATTGCCTCTGCTTCAAAGTCACCGCTGAAGGGACATACTTCTAAACAAATACCCATGGTATATAGAATTAGTTACTGCTCCTTCCTAAGGCATAGAGCAGCTCCATTTATACTCTGCCTTTAAGCTGAAGGCAGACGGCCTTGGTGGCTGTTTCTGTTCCTGATGCCCGTGCTTCCCCATCTCCTTCTCTCACTGAGCAAATGAGAAGCCCAGGTGCTTTCCGGAGCGTCAAAGGGAAGCAAGTTTCCTTGGTTCCAGTTTTGCATTCAGTCCCAGTTTCTCCCTTTTTTCATGTCTGCTGTCTCCTACACCTGACATCTGGAGACGACGACCTCTTTGCTGAAGCATGCCTGAAGATGTTTCTAGAAGCAATGGCAAAATGTGGTGGGTTACTTTCAGGGAGGCATCTTTCAAGAGTAGAGGAAAAGCACAGCGGTATTTAATTGAGTTTAGACTTCAGCCTCTCTCCTCCACTCAGCATCCTTCTGGGATGGCAGAAAGCTCTAGAAAATCGTCATCATGTTTATTCTAGAAGCGACTACTTCCTCATGGCTGGTCAGAGGCCACATACAGCTGCGTTTAGTTTATGAACTGTTTATTTAAAGTATCTCTGAACTATGGGCTACCACTGTCTTTCTGGAAAGCCACCGATTTTTTGTATAGAAAATTGTGTCAAGGCATAAGATCAACCTTATGAGCAACTTCCATGGCCACGTGCCGTGGCGTCGGTTGTGGACTTTGAAGGTCCCTTGTAGCTCTCTCCAGATAACATGTCCGGGTTCCCTTCCAGGCTCACTTTCTTCTGACGTACGGTGCAACCTCCAGCATTGTTTTCAAATGACTGATCTGCCCGTTCTTTAGCTGAGCAGCCCTTTCCATAGTTCCTTGTTTGACCAAATGCAAACTTGTTCTGGCTTGTCTTTGTCCCGGACTACATTCGTGGCCTGTAGGTTCCGGCAACACTCTAATCCCTTGCACGTTTTGGCCTGCTTTGTTATAATATTGCTCAGAATATGCGTAATTCTAAAGATTTTCTTTTACTTTGTGTTGTTCGGAGAGAAAGCAGTCGTGCCTTTAGAGTAAGCTTCACTTAGAGTAAAACGTAAACAGGACAACATATGTTAAGCCTGATAAACAGTGTTCTGCCACCGTGCTTTGTCCTGCTAGGTTTACAACAATGGCTTGTTTATCAGTGTTTTTCTTTCCTTAATGAATTTTGCGAGTATCACTTCTTTGAAAAAATCTGCTCAGAGTAACAAGTTTGACTGTAGATTTTTGGCACCCGCTCCAAATTGTTTGCTTGGCTGCGGTGGCGAGTTCCACTTTGTACAACGAGAGCGGTCGTTTCCTACTCCGCGCTCCAGCACGACGTTCTCGCTGGTTTTGCTGGCGTGCAGCTCGCTGGACCTCCGCGCCTGCGGGAGGAGGGGACGGGGTGGGAAGTGGGATGGCGTTTCAGCAGTTTTGCCCGAGAGGGAGCTAAGCGTTTGCTATTAATGGGCTGTGATCTACTATTAAGGCATGTGATCTGGCTTCAACCACTGTCCTTCCCCCTCCCGAGTTCAGCTTAGATGTCAGGAAAATCCAGGCAGCAGGGGATTCGGTTTGGCATCATGTCTGAAAAATGCGGTGGGAATGCAAGCCTTGCCATGCAGCGGTTGTAGTTTCTGGGGGACAATGGATGCGCAGTTTCCCTGCCGAGACCAAAGGACCCACAGTTAATTCCTCTTCCCTTCCCTCTTTTCCAGGGGCTGATAGTTCTTGGTGAAGCATCACCCCCTGATCCTGCAGTAGATGATGCATCCCGTCCCGTTAGTGCTGAAGTTAAGCTGGAGCCCGGGGCTGACCGGCTGGTAAGTGCCAGCAGCAGAAATAACTGGGTCCAGAGAATTCACGTTCATGAATTTTGGGTAGGAAAGGTTCATCTTTTAAGCTGCGGTGGAGAGAGATGCTCGAACCGTGTGTCTGGCATGGGACTGGCCTCCTGCAGAAGCACCTCTCCGCGGGACTTCACGTGGGGACTGCTGATCTGTTGGTCTGTGGAGCTCGCCCCCCTCCCAAATTATTTTGAGGTTAATGAACGATAGGATTTAAACACCTTTTAGAACAGAGTTCCTCGGGGTACCTTTGTAATATGCATTAGCATTTTGTGAGCTTAAAAATCCTAACTAATCCTTTCCCTCTAGCAAAAAAGTACCTTAAACTGAGAGCAGCACAATTAGCAAAGGCTTCTAAAGATGTGGCTATTAATACCTGAGTGTTACCGCGTGGAAAAGAAGCCAGTGATTTCAGTGAGATGCACTGGAAACTATGCGGAGTGCCAGGTATTTATTATTTAATGCAGAAATGTAGGCCACAGACTAAAGGCTTGATCATACTGTTCAGCCTGGCTGTGATTACTTTTGATCCTGTGGGACACGTCAACGTATTAAAATGGAGGATTTTGAAGTTGTGGTGTAGTACTAAGAGAAGGATGGTCCCTACGTGGCTCAAACTCCTGTTACCATGCTGCGGCACTCCTGCTTTTCTGTCCCAATGCCGCGTTTGGGGAGAAACGGAGCTTCACCGCAATGGGAGTGCTTGAGTTTCGTAGGCCAGTATTCAATGTAGTTGATAGAGATAAAAAACTTAACTAGAAGTGACTGTAAAATTGTACTTTGAGTGTTTTCTCCTATCACTGGCAAGACTTTGTCAGACTTTTCCTGATACTGAATGATAATACGAAATATTGTGAAATTTTGGATTAACACGGGACCACAAAGGGGTTATTACAAGTGCTTGTGATCAAATGTCTCCTCGCTTGACGCTGGCTTTCAGGTGTGTGTTTGGAATTTAAGTCTTCGAAAACTCTGCTGGGTAATTCGGTGCGATGAGCAGGTTTTGCTCACGACTGAAGTAGTAGCTGATGCTGCAGATGAAACCAGAGCCATGCCGGAGGAGCGATGGGAGGCTGGAGAGCCAGGATGACAGGGGCTGCTACAGATCATGATTGAATCACAAGCATTACGCAGTGTCTGGGTTTGAACAGTGATGTCCGTCTGTCGTGTGGCCCCCCCCGTTTTTCATACTTTAACCCAAAAAGTGCTCGGAGAATAATAAACAAGCGCAGTGACAGCATGCTCTGATTCACTTCAGAAATAGCGTGCTCCTGCACTGATGAACTGGCTGTTACTTGGGAGCTAATCTGCAAATGCCAGGCTGATAACGGAGATAAATGATCAAATTTAACAGTGATAGGAAGAATATTTTCTTCCTTACCTGTTCAAATCAGGATGTTTATCTGACATGAGTGTATTTTCAGCCTGGGACTCTGCGGATGGAAGGGCTATGCCCCACCTGACTTTGTCCCTACATGTTAAAGATGTTTTCCTTACACTTACAAAATCACCACATTATCCTTTTCTAGATTGTCTTAGACATCATCTCTGTATGTATAGAATAGAAAATGTCTGTAGATTTCTGATGTATGGAAAAGAAAATGCTTGCTTGGCCAAAACGAGGGCTGCCTGGTTTTGCTGCTCACCGCCATCTCACCGTTGCTGGGTTTACGCTTTTCCTGCATTGTCCCTTTTCTCATCCCTTTCACTTGGCTATGAGCTCTTCAGACAGAGACTTTTATTACTGCAGTGCTCGCGCGATGGAGATCCGTTCCGTCTTGCAGGTCTTGGAGGTAACAGTGACACAAAAAAATACTGAGAGCAGTGAAGAACAACATTTCAGCGTAAAGCAGGCTCCAGGTTCCTACTTAGCACCCGTATCTCGAAGGGTAACTCCTCCTGAAAAGGACTTTTTATTCCCCATCCACACGTGGGTTCTGGTGGACGTGCCCATCGCTCCACGCTGCCAGCTTCTCTGCAGCACTGCTGGAGGTGTCAGCCACCAGCAACGCTGCCTCCAGGCACCCACCTTCTGCATCCTGCTGCTGGAGGGTTTGTGCTTCATTAGACTTGCTCTTAAGGGTGGGGTGTTGAGTCAGAGCCTTGATCTGCTCAAAGCCAGAGATTAGCCCAGAGACCATTCCTATTGTGTTAGGACATTTACTGGAAGGGTATCTCTTGAGCCTCTCCTGGAGAGGCGCTTATCTTTTTGGCACTGTCGGGGCTGTTCAGAATGAGGGGGGTTTTTTACTTTTTTGTTGTTGTTGTTCCCTAAACTGGCAGAGTAAGAGGCATGTCTGCATTGTGAAATAAGGGGAGAATCCATCCTGTCTCATCCCCAACTCCTTTTTGGATCTCATCCGCTCATGAGTACCTCCCTTGGCCGGCATGAATGCAGGATACGTGTCCTCGGGCATCGGCTTGATATGTAGGATGTGGCTGGTAATCCCTAGGAGGGACTAATCCTATCGTCAGTGGAGGGAAGGGCTTTGCAAAGAAAGACCTGGGAATGTCTGTTGGGACCTGGAAGCTCATAAATATTTTTACCTGAAGACAGGAATAACACAAAGCCCTGAATAACTCAGCTGTTGATATTGGTTCATTGCTTGTATTGCCAGTCTAGCGAGAGGGGGGCACTTAAAGTTTTCAATAGTAAATGAGAAAGATTGATGGAGTGTCTTGGTAAGGCTTTTCCCTGCGTTAAGGGTTTGTTTCTAGTAATAGGTGAAGGTCTGAACCTGGCTGTAGTTCTTCGATTTTTGGGGGGAATACGGGGACATTCTTAGTGTTGGGTGACGACTACCTGCCAGCACACAGCTTCTTTACTGCCGCGAGAGCCCCTGGTAGTCTGCAGGCTACAACAAGCAGGTGTGCTAAACCTGAATCTTTGATGCCCTCCCCGTAAGAGTCCTAGGCATCCTAAAGACCTGGCCTTCCAGACCCCAGGCATACCCAAAGCAGAGGGAAGAGCTCACTCTGGAGCATCGATGTGATCCTGCTGGGATGAACGCTCCTCTGGATCCCAGCTTGGCCTCCCAGCCACCCCCGGAGGAAGGCACTGCCTCAGGAGGTGCATCCGGAGCTGGTGCAAGAGCTCTGCCTCTGCTCGGAGCCCCGATGTTGGCTCTTGCAGTCCTGTTCGTTCCCCCATTGCTCATGTCAGAGCCTTGTTAGGGTACACCCATCTTCAGCGTGATAAGGTGAGCCTGGGCTCTTTCTGATAAACACACTTTGGATTGATGCTTTCCAGCTCCTCCACGGGAAGCAGAGGGGTCACCCTCCATTCCTATCTTAAACCACCAAGCCGGAGACAGCTCTTGGAGAGGAGGTTCCTCCTTTAAGACCCTTTCTGGAGAAGAAAATAAATACCCTATTTCAAAAGAGCTTATGAGTCATGTGTACCCGCCCTCCTGAACCGTGGGTGCCTCCGGCGGAGGTGTCACGTGAAGGCTCAGCCTTGCCAAGTCTTTGGAAACCAGAGGGAAAACGTTCAGCTCCTGCACTGACTTCACCTCGCCGGGGTGCTGCGTTGTGCTTGCCCAACGCTTCTGCCACGATCTGATCTCGCCCCTACGTCTGTGTGCTCCGACCGAGTGTCGGAGACGAGCCCGTCCGACTGATCCTGTCTTTGCTCCCCCCTGGGAGAAACATCTTTTTTAGCAGAAGTGTAGAAAACCCAGCAAAGTTCCTCAAACAGGCAACAGGCAGAAGTTGTCCGTGTTAGAAATTGCTCTTCCCTTGGTGAGTCAGGTCTCTGCTATTCTGGAAACCGTTAGTCCCGCACTGCTGTAGCTCTTCGTTGGGTTGGGGGAGTGATTGCAGGGAAGATTTTAATCAATGCAAGACCAATGTTTTTGAGATGGAGTACGTGAGAAGCAGAGGGGCCGGCTGGCGAGCCGGCCATCTCTGTAGATAAGGCAGACCTTTTCTTTTGTCTTTTTTTGCTAGTACTTGAACTGCACCACCGCCCTTGCGTGCACGAAGGGGGAAGCCCAGCTAGAGAGACATTGGCAGTGAGCATAGGAAGTGCTGCACGGAGGAAGAAATTAAGCTTAACCCTGGGGAGGAGGAGGAGCGTGTCTGAAAACAAAAAGAAGGGGCTGCAAGGATGAGACGGGGGGGTGATGAGTGCCAGGGGTACAAACACACTGGACCTGCT